CCTGGTTCCCTGCCACGCCACCTGCAAAAGCACGCCCTCGTGGTCACTTATACCTGGTGACATTGTGATTAATTTTAAAAAATAATTATTAAAATATATCAATTTATTGAGTAGTTATGTTTGAAGGAAAAACCTAAATTTTTGCCAATTATTTGTAAGCAAATTCAAGAAAAAATTGATCTCCAAAAGCATTACAAAAAGGAAAACAAAATATACCCAACATGTATTTTTTCAGGCACACAGCTACCTTAAATCGATTAATTAATTTTGTTATCATATTGAAAAAGTAGTCGTCAGCCTACATTTCTGAAGGACTTTATGAAGTAACCATGTGTAAATAAGTTCTTATCAGGTTGTACAGTGACAGTGCGACGAAGAACATTATCTTTCTTATTTTGTCTACATGGCAACACTATTGACTGATAGAAGTACATTACGTAAAATGTATGAGTATATTACACAAACAATTTTAAAGGCTTTCCCTTCACTGATGTTATTTTGCACAAACAAGTAAGAAATAAATTATTATTAATAGAATAATTTTATACTAATTTTTCCGGCCATTGTTAAAAAGCAACGCAAATTTTATCATGGTTCTGATGCACTCGGGAACTTGACTTATTTCTATTAATTGCAATTTTAAACCCAAGTCAATCTGTCTTAAATTAGTTTTACTTTTTTTTAAAAATCGCCAAATCAGCGAAAACAGAACTGAGATAATGAAATAGCCTAATCCAGGTTGCAGTGACAAAATGTACGACTGCGTGTCACCATTATGTTTATTGATTGATTGATTGTTTACGAGCACTTCCGCTGTAGTCGTTAGTCCCGTTAGTGTAGTGGATGTTTTATCCAGGGAGATGGCTACGTTTCTCGCCCGCTGGATGGCTCGGCGTCGCCCTGGTTTGTGTGAGATTTCCCTCTTCAGGTATCATCGGAGCACCGCCCCAGCCACGACAAACTCTACATTTCTGACAGATCACCCGATATCTGTGATAGAGAAATAATGTAAGAGAATGTGGATAAGTGGAAAGGAGAGGTAAATGAATGAGAAGAAAAGATCGCACATGGTTCGCAGCCCATTTGCTGTGGTATTTCTCGAACATTCGATTGTTAATGATCAGCAATAACATGGTAAACTACCGATCTTCCGGTCACCAAAATTATTCTCTAGACAGCGTCTAAATTCGACGTAGTTATGAAGCTAGAGTCAAAAATCCGTCACCATCGTTTTTCGAACTTAGGACCTCCCGGTCAAGTCGGTGCAAAGACAGCAGTAATACTGGTTCTGAGTTAAGCACCAGTAAGAGAGTATTCTGTTGCCACCAGTGTGTGAATGAGAGGCTCCGTGCCGAGGCAAATTAAGTCAAATGACTAACGAAAGCCATGGGGCACAAACCGAATGAGAAGGCCACGCTGTGTGTGTGTTTTTTGTCGGGCGTAAGTAATAAAGCAATTGATAAATGCTAGCGCAAGGATTATTGTGAGAGTGAAGGTTGCAGTGAGTGTGCAGGATGCAGTTAAAGTGGCGGAAAGAATGAAAAATTATGCAAATCACCTGAGAACTGCCAGGTAATTCTTGTATGAAGCCAAACAGTGTTTCAGAAACCACGAAATCAACTGTCCGAAACACATGTTTATGAATGTAATTCGATATAGAAAGTAAGAATTTTCGTCAGTCTGAGTTAAGCAAAGAATTTAGTCTTAGGTTAATTTAGGTACTGTGACGAGAAGAAAACACTCTTCTTCCTCCGAAAGAAAATAGTATTCGTTATATTAGCAAGTACCGAAAAACCCAAAATAAAAGTTCATGTAATTCTTAAAATTGTTCCAAAAAAAATCTTTAAAGTGGTAAATGAAAAGAATTATGACATTTTCAATGATCTTTAAATTGCCAAAACTTTTTTCCCTTTTTATTAAAATCAATTTTTCCAAATAAGTAGCAAAATAAGACCCTACCTAAACGTTTAGCACTTCCGTAAAAATAATTTAAATGTCCATATTAAAAAATACGATATATTTAAAGAGCGCTGTACGGCGAGATCCCGTGAAGTACCTTAAACCGAAGTTCCCCGACCGGAGGTTCGGCGTAGGGCACGCCCTGGAAGCTGAGGAAAGCGGTGCCTGCAGGGGTGCGCCGACGCCGCCCTCGCAACGCCCCCTGCCGCACGGAGAGCGTGGCGAAGCGCTCCCCTTCCATCGCCCATGCGCGTTTCAGTGTATTCCCCGCAGGCAAGACGCGAACTTCCATGTATTCCCTTACCGCGTGGGACTTCACGTGTTCCCGATCGGGACTTTTCGCTGCATTTCGGACATCTTCGTGAACAGGGAAGATTATAGAAATTCCACACACGGGAGGCAGTGCGTACTTGTGCGCTCTGGTCAAAGGTTGTTTCTTATATATCATTATCATCGTTGCTGCAGGGATTAAACAAAACTGTTCCGGACGAATATATTATAAAATGGTCTTAAAATTGATCACTCCGTTGTTGTAGGAGCGTGTGATATTTGTTCTGTTCGTAATTGAAAAGCTCTTTAGATTGCGGCAATCATCCATTCCGTTATGAAGTGCTACCTAATTTACTCTATAATGCCTCTCAACTGTTCCTATAATATTATAGAGCTTGTTTGTTCGTAACGTTTGGATTCATATTCAATCTCGCGATCGATTTAAAACATGTCATTATCATATTTTAGAAATTTCATTACTAGCATACGTTAACGACCTTCATTTTATCAGCATCGGTTCCGGTGGTCTGAGTTTTTGTTAAAGTCTTGTTTTCAGTTTCTTATTTTTAGAACCATTATTCTGCTAAACACCCCATTTTTTTAATCATTTTTAAATACAATTTTCTGCACAATTAAATCAAAATACATGCAGTGCATACCATTCTTATTTACACAAATGTTATATGCTACTTAAAGTTATTGGCGAAGTAAACATTTTTTACACAATGTTTTCGTTAACATTACGTTTCGTGGATTAAAAAATCCTTTTGTGAGCTTCCCGAAACTTTAAGGAATGGATAAAAATAAATAAAAGAAGTGCAAATAGAATGAACGTTTTATAATTTTATAAAAATACAAGTTTAACATAATATACATAAGAATTTTTGTGTATGTCTTGCACATAGTCTATATATATGCAAGTACGACAAAATCGCTTATATAAACATCTTTTTCCACCTCCATGCATTCTACAAGAGCCCAGAGTGAACACATTAGGCACATTACCCTTCTATAACCCTCTGAAACTTTTACATGGCAAACCATGCACTCGGCATCTTCTCAAGATGGGAAGGAAGATATACCTGGTAGAACTTCTCATCCGGAAGAGCCAGAGAACATGTCGTTCGACTCCTCGTCGGACGTGGAATCTTCCTTTTGCTTTTTGTTTTCCTTCAGAAAATTTTAAAGTATCTCTCTTTTTTACTTCTCTGGGACTAAATTCCGATATTTTCTTTTGACATCTTGCACTCTCAAACTGATAGGCTTCATAGTAGGCTCAGGTTTTTTATTACTTCCTTTGAAAAGCCAGAGCAGAAACTCCGCCACGTTGCATGGGAAGCGAGAAGTGTTGAGAAACGTTTTGAAAGTGGCATAAAGAGACAATTTTCTACGAAAAAATCACGATGAAGGGATAGTTAACATAAAAATGCAATATTAAGAAAGATGCTTCGTCTGACATCTCTCGAATGGTCGTATCTCACTTTTAATGCCTCTCACAAAATCCTACAGGAGTTGGATACTGGAAACAAAATTTGTTGCAGTTGCACTCAATTTTCTGAAAAGTTCCTGTTAATAGCATCGCATGCCAAAGGTGTACAAATCTGTTTCAATGACTTACAACATGATAATTTTGGTATCTGGATGCATTTAAAATCCCTGCTAATATTGTGACGCAAACTGGTGCCTGAAGTTCATTGACCGAAGTCAAATGCGATTCTCATTAGCTCACTTATGACTAGGGAGCGGATTGCAATGAAATGTCGTTTTTTTCTTTTCACTTTAGCTTTTCCTTTTCACAATGCCTTTTAGTTTAGACATAAATTTTATTTTATGGCAAAAGGAAATTACCGATTTTTATATGACTTTTCTTTTCATTTTTCGTCGGTTTCGACTAATAAGTCATCTTTAACCTTTTTCCGTTATTTTAAAAGCATTTTATTGGTTTCATCAATTTTAATATCATTTTAATGGGTCTTATTTTTAATATTTTACGGCATCAAAATCCGCCCCCTTCTCATGACTCTCCATCGCGATGCCTGTAGCTTGTGGCAAAGTCCGTCCACAACTGCAACCGCCGCCGCCGAGTCAGCTCTCCCACGCTGCCTTCTTCCGGCGCCGGGGCCTGGGGCGGGTTGAAATGATAGCGCAGCGTGGCAAGCGCCTTTCACTATAGTGTCGAATGGCATCAGCGAAATCCCTCTGCCGACCAGGGCGAACGCCTGAAGTGCACGTCTGTACTCATTTGTATCAGAAAACAAAGCAATGTCTTCGTTTTACGTTCTCGCTACGGACTAGTGAGAAAGTTATGAAATGCTACGCGAGACAACTGCGAATTATTGGCAGAAAAAATCTTAATTGCTGGGCCCTGATAACGAAAAAGTGGATTAATCTTGTGGCTAAATTTAAAAAAAAGTATTTTATCACATGGTATAGTCAGAATTCCAGTTTTGTGAGTTCTTGATACCGATAAATCGATTGACTGCAAAACATCTGTCAGTCCGTCTGTCTGTCCGTCCGTCCGTCCGTCCCTCCGCCGTCCGTCTGTCCGTCCTTCCGTCCGTCCGTCCCTCCGTCCGTCCGTCCGTCCCTCCGTCCGCCCGTCCCTCCGTTCGTCCCTCCCTCCGTCCGCCCGTCCCTCCGTCCGTCCCTCCCTCCGTCCGTCCCTCCCTCCGTCCGTCCCTCCGTCCGCCCGTCCCTCCGTCCGCCCGTCCCTCCGTCCGCCCGTCCCTCCGTCCGCCCGTCCGCCCGTCCCTCCGTCCGTCCCTCCCTCCGTCCGTCCCTCCCTCCGTCCGTCCCTCCGTCCGTCCCTCCCTCCGTCCGTCCCTCCCTCCGTCCGTCCGTCCCTCCCTCCGTCCGTCCGTCCCTCCGTCCGCCCGTCCCTCCGTCCGTCCGTCCGTCCCTCCCTCCGTCCGTCCGTCCCTCCCTCCCTCCGTCCGTCCCTCCGTCCGCCCGTCCCTCCGTCCGTCCGTCCGTCCCTCCGTCCGTTCCTCCGTCCGTCCCTCCAAATATCACTTTTAATATTGCTCAAGGGACAGTAGGCATTAGCATTTGATCGATTGCGGAATGCTCAGTTTTGGAGAAAATGGCTGAATTGTTTAGCCACTAAGCCGTTGTTCACGGAGGGACGGACGAGGGACCGCGACGGAGGGACGGACGGAGGGACGGACGAGGGACGGACGGAGGGGACGGACGGAGACGGACGGCAGGACGGACGGAGGCGACGGACGGCAGGGAACGGACGGAGGGACGGACGGAGGACGCGACGGAGGGACGGACGGAGGCGACGGAGGTACGGACGGAGGGACGGACGGAGGACGGACGGGGACGCGACGGAGGGACGACGGAGGACGGGGACG